CAGTTTGACTTTTAGGACAAACCAGAGTTAATAAAAGAAGTGATTGTGCAAGTTGCAGTTTCAGTTTTGTTGGTTTGACTGAAAGCAGATTGTGGGGTTGCATCTGGGGGAAAGGTGGGAGGAAGGTTGTATTGCCTGTGTTTGACTGGGTCAACCAAAGGCTGGGAGAGTCTCCATAAGATTGGAGGACCCAGTGCTATGCTTATTTTTTTGATTGCCTGAAGGACCAGACAGGTTCCCATAAGATTGGGTGGTCTGGTTGCTTTGACTTGTGAGGGCTGCATGTGTTTGACTTTCAGGGACCAAGCATTTTTCCATAAGACTGGATGGCTTGGTTGCCATGTTTTCTTTGGGGTTTCTTATATTTTGTTAGTTTCTGAAGGAGAGTTGGGCACGTTCCATAAGATTGATGGCCCTAACTCTCTTTTGTTTTGTTTTTTGAGGGAGAAATCCAAGCAAAGGACTGGACAGGTTCCCATAAGATTGGGTGGTCTAGTCTGGAGCCGCGCACATGTTGGAGCCAAAGGCTAAATTTGTTTATATTTTATATAACTTACTTATGAACAGACTAGTCAGACATTTTTCCATAAGATTGGATGGTCTGACTATAGTTTATGACCAATTGAAGAGAGTATGAATTAATAATAAAATTGTTGTAAGAAGGGACAGGCTGAATCTTGATCTAAGGTGATCGGTTCAGTCATATGTTGCCCTAAAAGAAAAGTGCAGACAATTATATATAACTTGGATACTTAAATGGTCCAGGGCGACTAGGCTGGCTAACCTAGTCATATGCCCGAAGAAGAGAAAATTTGTAGTGACCTGTGTTTGTGTATATTCTATGGTTGAGCTAGACAGGTTCACATAAGATTGGGTGGTCTAGCTTTATACCTTGTCCCTTAATGGTGGTTATCTTTCCTTTTGCTAGGTAATTTTCTTCAAATTCTGTTTAATTTCCTTTGCCTTTTCTTCCTCCCCTCTCATTTTCCTCTTCACTTTGCACCAAATGACCCAGTATTCCGTTTCCACTTGCTGTTGGACTAGGCTCCAAGCCTCTTGTCTGTGCACTGCTTGTTTATCTAATGTTTCTTGACATCTCTTTCTCCAGATTGTCCATTAGGCAGCCTTTCAGAGTATTTGAAAGGTATTATACTCCACTGGGGACCACTCTTCGGGGATATGGAACCCTAGTAGCAAGAGGATAGGGTTGGCTGCCAGCTGCACTATAGAGAGTGTCTCCCATATTGTGTATATTTCTGCCATAAGTGCCTTGTCTTGGGACACTGGATGAAATAGTGAAAAATGTCTTCTATTTGTTCCTCTGAGAAAGTAGCGCATGGTTCTTTAAGAGGATTTATGTCTTCCTTTCTCCTCCGTTTGTTTAGCCACTGGTTCAACAGGACCGCTAAATAAAGTATCAATCATTGTAGGCTTCTAAATTTCGGGGGGTGGAACGTCGCTAGTTGGTTCCAAGGAATGTTGTTAAGATTTCCTATATGCACTTCTAAGTGCCTTTTGCTATTATGGGTTCTGGGGCAGCTGATCTGTGTCTTAGTTTGTAACCTATTCTTGTTGAATAATTAAGGAGGTTAAATTTGAGGGTTGTTCCTGTATTCCGTTGTTTTAGATTCCAAGCCCATGGAGTTGGGTCGACTTCAAGGTTTTCTAACTTTGTTTGGGGGTGATATATTGTTAGGTCTGTGTTTTCTACTACTCCTATTTTTCTGAGGTTGCTCCTTCTAACAGAGACTTGTGCTTCTGACTTCTTACTGACTTTACTGTAGGTTCCTCTATTTTGTGCATTCCTCATTAGCCTCTTCTCTACCCCAGTAGGCTGGCGCGTGCTCGTGAAAGCCAATGTGGGTCATCACTGCCCAATCACCACTCCCTTTTCTTTTTAAGTACTGGAAGCCAATACTGTGGGATTCCCGCACTGAGCTCTTGTCGGTTATGGGCTAGGTTATGGCAACCATTGAGGCTGTTTCTGAGTTGTCTCTCGTTCTTCCAATCCTTTCTGTTGTCGTCCCAGATGTGTTTGATTTGCCAGACCCCTTTCTCTAGCCATGACCCCCAACGAGCGTCTTTTGTTGTTAGGGTGAAAGGATTCCCTTCCCTCGGTGCTGTCCATGGATTGCAGAAAAGAGGTTGTCTAAGGATCTCCTCCTTGTTTTGTGGCTTCCTCACTTAGGCTGGGAAGATTTCTCTCCGGGATTTGAGGATTTCCTTCCAAAAGTGAAGTCTGGGATCCTTCTTGTTTGTGTGGCCTCCGGCGTTCTGCCTCTTAGGGACCATGATTTGCTCATCAACCAAAAGGACCCCTCCATGTTGGGTGGTGTGGTGTACACCGGGAGTTGCTGAATTCCTTCCATTGCTAGGGGTCTCCAAGGTAGCTTGGGGCGCGTTAGGAGTTTGAGGATCCATTTCGTTTGGAGAACTTTTATCTGTGTTGCAGGGTCGAGGACGCCCAACCCACCCTGTCCTTTCTTCCTTGTGACGTATTGCCAAGTCACCTGTGGCACACTGCGCAGTCACACGGGCCTGCAGAGCCCAACCAACGTTCTCAGCTTAAAAGCCTGAAAACAAGGGCCTACAGGCCCTGTGTCGCTTTCAGCCTAAAAGCCTGAAAACGACGGCTTACAGGCCCGGTGTCGTGTCAGACTGACAGCCTGAAAATGAGGGCCTACAGGCCCTGGGTCGGTTCGGCCTGACAGCCTGAAAACAAGGGCCTATAGGCCCTCATTCTTTAGCCAGAAGCTACCTGGAAACTACCCGGAAGCTTCCTCGGGGGCTAGCACGTTCTCGCATTGGCAAGAGCAGCCTCCCAGAAGCTTCCTCAGGGTCTAGCACGTTTGGGCATTGGCAAGAGCAGCCTCCTGGACAGGCCAGCACTACATAAGACTGGCCCGCCCTACAGGCAGGTAGGTAGTTCATAGGGACTGGCCAGGCACTTCACGTGCAGTTCAGGAGGCAGGAGGTAGTCTTCAGGATTCGGCAGCAGCACTCTGGAGGAGCGCTGCAGTAGTAGTCTTCAGCGCTGGGCGCTAGTAGGAGCTAGAGTAGCATTGGAGAGGGAGAGAGAGAGATGGTTGGCGGAGGCCAGGGAGACTTACCTGTGGCGCCATAGCTCCAGCTTCGTCTTCAATGTACCTGCAACAAGGCGCCACCTTCACAGGTTAGTACCGGACTGTGTGTGAGAGAGAGAGAGAGAGAGAGAGAGAGAGGGAGAGAGAGAGAGAGAGAGAGTTCTTCTTCTTCCTCTTCTAAGTCCACCATCTCTTCTTCACCCTCTCGCTACCTGACTTCTCAGTATCTGCGGACTACGAGAGAGAGAGGGAGAGTTGTGACCTTGGGACTTGACGACATTGGGTCCAGACTCGACATTGGGATTCAGACATTTGACGAGGGATTATTTGGGGCCTGTGCCGAAGGCTTGGTGTTGACGACATTCCCATCTTCCCCTCTTCTTCGTCTAACCCCCCTCTTCTTCGTCTGTGTATGGTTGGGGACTGGCGCATTCTTCCTGTGTGAGCGCCAGGCCCCTTCACACCATGGAATGATGATGATATATGTTTGGGGCTGCATTGCAACATTGATTGTTCGGATCATTGGTATCTATGTCTTCCGCTGCGCTATCTTGTACTTTGTGAGAGGTGTCAGTTCTGCGACACCACCTTTGTGATGAAGTGTTGTTTGGAGGTGTCCCCTGTCCACAGATAGGAGGGTGCTTTCTGCTTGAGTACTTTTAGCGCTTGGTGTTCCGGGAAGAAAAAGGCTTCTACGTACCACAACATCGAGAAGATTGAGGAGTTTAGGATCAATGCTCGGTCTGCTCGAGAGGATCAAGGAATGTGCATGTTGTTTCTTGGGAAATGTCCAAATGTGAATTGAGGGTATGGATATGCCAGAGGAGAGGGTACTTGATTACTTGACATTACCTGGTCGGTTTTTCTGAATCATCAGTTACCCCTTCCCTTTCCCATACATTCTCCATCCCTTTCCAATCAGTGACCCCCTCTCGTTCCCACACTCCTACAGTAGCATGCGCATGGGCGGCATGGCTGCACCAAAAGCAACTTCCAAATTTGTGTTCGTTCTTACAGCATTTGAAGCACAAGCTTTAAACGGTCAACCTTTTTCATCACCGTTCAAGGAGTGTGCATGTTGTTTCTTGGGAAAGGCGCAAATGTGAAATTGAGGGTATGGATAGGCCAGAGGAGGGTACTTGATTACTTGACATTACCTGGTCGTTTTTTTCTGAATCATCAGTGACCCCTTCCCTTTCCCATACATTCTCCATCCCTTGCCAATCAATGACCCCCTCTCGTTCCCACAGTCCTACAATAGCATGGACATGGGCGGCATGGCTGCACCAAAAGCAACTTCCGAATTTGTGTTCGTTCTTCCAGCATCTGAAGCACAAGCTTTCAATGGTCAACCTTTTTCATCACCAGTCAAGGATTGTGCATGTTGTTTCTTGGGAAAGGTCCAAATGTGAAATCGAGGGTATGGATAGGCCAGAGGAGGGTACTTGATTACTTGACATTACCTGGCCCTTTCCCCCTCCCATACATTCTCCATCACTTTCCAATCAGTGGCCCCCTCTCTTTCCCACACTCCTAAAGTAGTGTGCGCATGGCTGCACCAATAGCAACTTCCGAATTTGTGTTTGTTCTGGCTCAGACTTTCTTTTAACCTCCTAAACACAGCGTAGAGAGCTGTGCTGGCTGAAGAGATGTTTGTTTGTCTGATATGTCTAGCCCCAATTGCGGGGACGGGGGCTGGGAAATTGGGTTGAACAGGATCTGTTGTTGAGACATACTTGTTCCAGCTGTGTTTTTGGACCTTGTCCGGATGGTCTTGCTGAACCATTAGGACCTGTGAAGTGTGGCCAGATGTCTGACCCGCTACCAAGGACTACTGTGTCCTGATCTTGGAATGTGGAACAGATATTCTTTACGGTTAACTCATTCATGTGACACATTCCTGAACCCCTGTTGCAGGTGCCCCCCTATTTGGTCAGGAAGACTTTCACCCAGATTTTCTCATTCATCAATGTTCAACTGCTCAACAGGTATGTTATGATTTCTGCATCCCTTTTGCCTCTTGCAATCAGACTCGTTTTCAAACACAC